CGCATGTCAGCAGCAGGTCCTTCATTACTTCCCATAGCTTGCTCTGCACACTTTGCTCTTGAGGCCAGGTGTCTTTTCGAAGTTGTAGGTAAAGTGGGCAGGTATGCAGAATGTGCTGAAGTGTTTGTGGTCCTATTTGACGGGCACACTGTGGGGGACTGTACAATCTTTATTTTATGCATGTGGTAGTTGAGCCTGCAGTGTCCTGTTCATAGTCGGAAAATTGTTGTATGCTGCTTTCTGTTGAGTCTGCTGATGGGTGTTGTGGATGTTTACTGTTAGTTTGCTCGTTCGTGTAAAGCTGTGTACCTATGTTGACCCATATGCTATTTCACCTCTGCATTGCTGAAGTAGCAACATAAGAGTGCAGGTCATAGACTGCTTCAAAATCTTTTATAGAAAAGCAGGCTTTTGAGCTAACATACTGGAGCTAGATTCATGGAATACTATGGACTAGCATTCTGAAGATTATGAACATTAAGGAAAATTGGCTTATACACAGCATCCAACTAATCTCTGTTACACATTTTTTGGCAATATCAAACACCAGAAGGGCTTGTGAAGAATATTAATGGCAGGCATTGTACCAGGCAAGTGAGGCAGAGGCTGACAAGCATGAAAATGAGCACAGAACTGAAGTTGAGTTGATTCCTAAACTGAAATCACAGCACTTGGGGCATACCCATAAGCACTCCACCCATATTTTTTGCAGCCAGCACTGAGTTCCAATACTAATGGTGTCAGTGGCACTCAGATTATACGTCCGTCTTGCCTCTCCTCTGAGCCCCGAGCATTGGCCAGATCCCCTCATCACCCCCCGCTGCATCACTCTTACCAGACTGTGGTGATCCTTTTGCTCCACCGAATTGTACACGTTCTTCCACAAGGCCCTAACCACATCTGCCTTATCGTGCATATATTCCATCAAGTGGTGTACAACCAGCCAGACTGTCTACCTGTTTATTTCCCACCATACTAGCATACCCAGAGAAAAGATCCAGACAATGCTGCTCAGCCGTGACCTCCGAAGCGGGTAAAGTACCAAAGAGATGCCTTGGGTATGAAAGTGCATGAGGTGGGAGAGCTGATGAGAGACCATGCATTTTTCACTTGGAACTTAATTCTACTCTAAAGGATTTCCTACACAAAAGAATAAACTTTATTTCCAAAGGGTTACAAATTGGGCATGCAGGCCCATCTCACATTCGACCCTTCATCTTTCAAACAGCAATTTAATTTTTATGTCACTCATATTATGTTCACATATACAAGTTCAAAGGATGTAAGCTTTTAAAAAAAAACGCATGGAAATGGATGGAGGGTAGGTATGTAAGATGGAAAGATAGATAATAGACAAAAATATATATAGATGGACAGAGATACATAGATGGACAGACAGACAGAAGGACTGATGAACAGACAGACAGACAGATACTTTAGTTAGCGATGATGATGAGGTGTCTTCCAATTAAATTATCGCACTGTACACCCAAAGCGAAACAAGGAATAGAAGCAGAAAAATCGTCCAGTTTTTGACAAGTATAAACTTTTCACCTTTAAACTGATAAAATGCTTGAAATCCAGTTGAGTCATATATATCGTTGGATTTGAATGTCACTCTAAAGAATGGACCATCCGACCAGATTTCTCTTTTCTCTTTAGATATTTGCCCACACATCCTGGTCATTTTGCGGTCCTCAGTATCGGCAAAGTTGGAGAACGACACGTAATCACTTTTGGTACTTTCCTCACATCTGTAATATATGTGGAATAACATGCTAATCTTAGAACATGTCAGTAACATATAAGTAATAAGATTTCAATATTAGAAAAAATTCTATAACATGCGTAAGGAATTGTTAATATTAGAACCGATCTTTTATATATGTAACTGCATGGCAACATTATAGCATATGTGAAGACACGTAGAAGATGTTAACAGTGAAACAGTAACACTAAGTCTGTAACTTGTGTAATGGATTGTTAGCATTAGAACAGGTCTGTAACAAATGCCAGGTAATATGTAGAAGTGGCAAGAAATCTGAGCCAAACTTTTTAAATAGGGTGTTCAAAAAGTCACTGTGCAGCCAAGTTTTTGAATAATTGTTTGGCGAGTCATTTTCCCGGCTCTCCTTTAAATAACGGTCGCTAGCTGGAAGGCGACGGCCGCTTAGTCGGAGTTCACTCCCCTGGCTGCAGTGCAAATATGGAGCGGACAAGTCACGAATCAAAAAAACAAAGTGAGGTCGACATGCCTGCTAGAGCTAGACCACGCGCTGCGACTGACAGTAGCGACCGCGGTCTTGCAACGCAAGACTCTCGTAGACCACGCGCTGCGACTGACAGTAGCGACCGCGGTCTTGCGTCTCAAGACTCTCGTAGACCACGCGCTGCGACTGACAGTAGCGACCGCGGTCTTGCGTCTCAAGACTCTCGTAGACCACGCGCTGCGACTGACAGTAGCGACCGCGGTCTTGCGTCTCAAGACTCTCGTAGACCACGCGCTGCGACTGACAGTAGCGACCGCGGTGCTTTTGCGACGCTAGACTCTCGTAGACACACGCGCTGCGACTGACAGTAGCGACCGCGGTCTTGCGTCTCAAGACTCTCGTAGACCACGCGCAAATTGCGACTGACAGTAGCGACCGCGGTCTTGCGTCTCAAGACTCTCGTAGACCACGCGCTGCGACTGACAGTAGCGACCGCGGTCTTGCGACGCTAGACTCGTAGACCACGCGCTGCGACTGACAGTAGCGACCGCGGTCTTGCGACGCTAGACTCTCGTAGACCATGCGCTGCGACTCAAATTAGCGACCGCGTTCTTCCGACGCAAGACTTAGTGACCGTAGATGTGGGACCTGCGGATCTGTATGTCCTAATGAGCGATAAGCTTCCGTCGTTTCTGTGATGTGTTAACCTAACCCTACCTCAAACCCTAACCCTACCCCTCAACATACTCCAAACCCTACCCCAAACTTAACCCAAGCCCTAAGCCTAACCCTAGGATGACAGGTAACTATCATTTGTTTCGTTCCCTCTTTACCACTCAGTATTTGCACTGCAGCCAAGGGAGTGAACTCCGACTAAGCGGCCGTCGACTTCCAGCTAGCGACCGTTATTTAAAGGAGAGCCCATTTTCCCCATTTTCTTTGTCTTATAACGGTTGGCCATTTTAAAATTCCTTTTATTTCCTGTTTGATTCTTGAATAATAAAATGATTGCCCAAGCAATAAATATTGAGCTGCTTGGTAGTGATTGAGTAAACATGTCCAACTAGGCTCTGGTTTTCTTCCTTCACACGACAAATAATAAATTACCCTCATGAGATGAAGAATAGGAAGAGAAGCCTGATTTCAGGCGGAGTGACAGCTTTCAGGCGGAGTGACAGCTTTCAGAAACATTATCATGTGATAGAAACACAGTAGCATTTGAGCCGTGTCTGCAAAAGCCAGAGCAATAGAGTTAGTAAAACTGCTCGCCCTAATGTTACCTGGGACTTTTCTTCTCAGTGTGGAGTCATAGGCCCTATTTTGGGAAGAACAAGAACAAGAACAAACCAACTACTTTTTGATAAGCATGTCATAAAGGGTAACTAAATACAGGTCTACTGAAATCAGATATGTTGGGCTAAAATGCACTAATATTGCAGCCTAGCTGTAAACAACAATACAATATCTCAACTCTTTTTTTTTCAGGCGACATTGAAGAAGAAGAATCAAATACAGTTGACAATGTAATCTAACAGGAAATTAGATGAGATAGAAGCCGCCTTGATCTAGCGGCTAAACGTCACCGGCGGATCGGAAGGTCGTGGGTTCGGTTCCTGACTGGAGCCGGACTTTTTTCAAAAATGACCTTGGCTCCCAGGTCGACCCAGCCCTGAGTGGGTACCAGGTGCTGTCCTGGGAAGTAAAGGCGGCCGGTGTGATGCTGACCACAATACCCACCAAGTGACGTTTGGTCTATACAATAAAGGTCTAGCCTTATATACCTATTACGCCTGAAAGGCTTGGAAATGGGTCCTTAACTTTTTAATTAGATAAGATGGATAAGAAGGGTTGGTAACACCTATACACTTCACGACCTGATAACTTTAGCCTTCAAACGCAGAGTTAGTTTTGAACAAAAAGTCTTGTAGACTACTAGAGCCACTTTAGTTGTCAGGCATTTGCATGCTGGCAATCTACACTACCCAGATATTTTCCGGTGCTTTATAAATATCCTACCCCAAACAGGAGAAATTCACAGGTCACGGGACAGTCTAATATTTCAAGGGGTGGTAGGCTGCATGCAGTCGTGGGACCTAGGCTGCACTCTCACGTGGGACGTAGGTGGGTTGGGGTTAGGGCCAGTTATAGATGTTTTTGGGGTCGTTAAAAGCACCAGAAAGCCGGAAAACCTAGTCTTACCACCCTCTAAAATGTTAGACTGTCCTGTGGTGGGATATTAATAAAGAATCAATTTTTTCCTTCACAATTGACCTTGGCTCCTATGTAACCCCAACCTAAAATGGTTGCTAGGTAGTGTATTAGGAAGAAACGGCATCTGCCATGGTGGTCTAAAAACAAATGAGTCTAGCAGTATGCATCACTGGTGTGGAAAGGGTCATTTACTTCATTTTACTTCGAGACCTGTGGCCACGTTAGCGCAGTCGATAGAGACTCGCTGTCAAATCGAGCTGCGACTCGCCGTAGCCCACGGCTTGTGTTCGAAACCGGGCTGTTTCCTTCCGGGGTACCAGAGTTAACACTCTGGGGTAAATGGAGGAAAGTCGCTGTAGCTACGGAGTTGCGCGCGGACGGCGACACAGGCTGACAGTTTCTTATTGCTATGTCCATACTGGTGGCACAGCACGTATGGTTTATAATCATGCGCAATGACGCTGGTTCACATATCCCGACATTACCTTTTTACTTCGAGACCTTGGCGTGAGAAGGATGAAGGCATATGTTGTGGAGGGAGATGATTAGCAAAAGATGTGAGGACAGCTGGATACAGACCTAGGGTTGAGGCCATCCACGTCGAAATCTAAGAAGGTGATATGGACACGTTCCTTGCCCCTGCCATAGAACAGATAGTGGCACTCTGTGTTCCGTGGGTACAGGCCATTGTAGTTTGGAGAGGTGATTTCTCCATACGGCTTCACCGAGCTTTGGTAATTGAATGCACAGGCTGAAGCAGAAATATTTCATTTGAATTTTTATTTTGTATTTGCATGCACATACACATATAACACACGTAAGCAGAATTATATCTAGATGCTTACTGATATCTCGGTGCATTCTTTTTAGCCGACCACAAATGACGTTACGGAAAAGTCCAGTATTTCAGAGAATGGTTGAGCGGGTTTTTCCGTGTTTTCTGTGCTTTAGTACGTTTCTTCCGAAGCCAAGGGTTTTGCTCGTTAACCTAACCTTAACCCTAAGTCTAACTCTAACCCTAACCCTAACTATACACTTAATCTACCACCCCCTGAAATATTTGACTGTCCCATGACCTGTGGATTTCCCCTTTTGAGGTCGGCTAATAAGAAAGTGCCAATAGCTCTCTCTCTCTCTCTCTCTCTCTCTCTCTCTCTCTCTCTCTCTCTCACACACACACACACACACACATGTACACATCTGTAATGGGCCCTTGGCAGAACACAAACACACACACACAATAGGTATATTATTATTATTGTGTTCTGAATAACAAATACATATAATTAAAACACACAAAATATAACTGTTTAATAAGAGGGTATCAGTTCATGGTGGTAGGAAAAGTAGACCTGTCCCTGAAAGAATTTGGAGGAGGGGCCTTCAGGTGTCTAAACCTCTAAGCATGCTTGCCTATGGTCCTCAACATCATCATCATCCTGTTCTGTCGTTACTCCTATCTCATAGCTGAGTTAAACTCTGGGTTACAGTCCAGCTTGTTCTTCTTCGCACTCACTGGCTGTGGTTGTTTCTGGACTCTGGTCTTGTTCCAGATCTTGAGTTTTTGAGTGCACATCTGATCTACAGATCTGGCTTATTTGTATGCAGACTGTTGGTTCCTCGCCTCTTACGCAGGTCTACTCTGACTTTAAAGGAAACATCTACTTAATTACCTTTAACGACATGCTTGTTACAGAGGCATTAGGTCTATTCTCTCCCTCCCCCTTCCCTAGAATGGGGCTCCCGTTCCAATATGCGAAAAAAACCTCCCAGGACTCAAAGATTCACTCTAATCTACAATGAACTTTTGGATTATCGTTCTTTATTCCATTTCATGTCACATAGGATACACTGTTTACTACTCCATTGTGCTATATCCTTAGCAATCTATTCGATGTCATCAATGTGTTTTAGAGTTTATCTTGGACTTTCTCATTTTCTCACTCCATTTGTTTCTCAGTCAAGTTTCCTTTTTTTAGTGATTCTCTGCTGGCTTTTTCTTAGAATGTGCTGAATACAGCACTGTCGTTGTCTTATAGCTTGATCCCAATATGCCAGAATGACACCCTTTCTTTAAAGTTTCTGTAGCTACATTTTCTTTCTCACAGGCTGGGGGAGCTGGCTCCACACACAACCCTCCTCCTTTATCATCCGGGTTTAGAACAGGCAATGGCAGTAACAAACGTTTTGTCAACGTAACAACGGTTGATACTGAAAGAGCATGGATACATTTTAGTCCATCTTAGAGAATACTTGTATAATAAGACTTAAAATGATGCTATCTTTGCTATAAAGCTTGCTACTGTAGACTTAAACTGTGATCATTGGGAATATTTTACAGTAAGGCCCCAGTCTCTTCTTCGATGCAACTTTCTGAAAATGCACGAGCGCAGTCTTTTACTAAACCACTCGCCATGGGATTTGAAAGCTGCTGTATCGAGGATTAAAAACTGCGTACGCTTATTTCTAAGTCGCTAAGCTAAAGTAGTGTTTGAATACAGGCAACATTATGAGTTATTAGAAGACATCTCAGCTAGAGAAGTAAAGTAAGAAAAATTAGTAAAATAAGATGCTGAAGTCGGAGGCAACCAGCCAGGAGGTGCACCACACAAACGCAACAGTGAATATTAAGACAACCTTGCAGATGTAGATAATCTATTTCAAGCCAATGAAAGAAGAAGAAAAAAATAAATTAAGCAAGTAAAGGGACATTTTCTCTCTTTGCTCAAGCTATAGCAACATCTGAAGCCTGTGAGACTTCCGCATACTTCAACATTGGTAAAATAATTCAGCCTCATTACTTACTTCCTCTGTTGTCTTGCTGACCTTCCGTGATACCAAAATCTGAGGAGAGTATAAAAATATTTCATCAGAAGAAATAAGTGGAAATAAGCCTAGAGATTCAGGTTTAAAAAAAATTTGGTCCTTTTTCATCGAAACAAAGTTGGTCAAGAGTTGTCAGAAATCCACAAACTAGTGAAATATGTTTGTCGCTTTAAAAGACAAAATACTTAAATACAAAATATATTGGTGGAGGGCGGTTAAAGGCGAGAGGCAGACAGTGACATAAATGGTTTGGCTTGGTTTATACAACGGATCAACATCATGGCACACGGGTGTAACCCATAAGTGCTCCGTTCTACTTCTAACTCAAGTCTGAGTCAGAAACGTCCTAGCGCAGTGCACGAACTCCGTTGCAGCGGCGAGGATCCTGAAATACTTTGGGTCGATTTTTAACTGAAAAATTTCGCCTGACCAGCTGCGTTAGGCTACTCTTTTTCGATTTCCAACTGGCAAGGTATTTTTCATGTGCGCAACAATACACACGGGTGTAAGATCCTACTACTCAGAGACCAGTGGAAAATACTAGAACTGGTTTGACCCAGGTGAAACCAGCAAAAAATGGGTACCATATATTATTCCGGGATATAAAGACAGTCGGTGTCATGCTAACCTCATCATCCGCTGAGTACTGATGATTGGTTAAGAAAATATAGGTGGAGTACTATATACATCGGCGTGATGCTGACCACATCACCCATCTTGTGCCGACTGGTCTATAAAATATAGGTCTAGCCCTATATGCCCTATACGCCTAAATGCGTGGAAAATGGTCCTTTCTTTACTTTGTTTACGTACTATATACTTGCAATATGCTTAACTGTTGAAAATAGTCCTTTTTTAACAACTAATAATAAGTATATAGATAAATTTTTACGCCTTTAGGCGCATCGGGCATATGGGAAGAGCACCCATATTTTTACAGACCAGTCGGCACTATGTGGATAATGTGGTCAGCATTACGCCAGGCGTCTTTACTTCATCAGGACATACATTCTGGTACCCACTTTAGGCCTGGTCGACCTGCGACGCCCTATATCATGATAAAAATCTATGCAGCCAGTAGTGAGTTTCGATCGAAGTACGCTGGAATTACGAGTCAGGCTCGTAACGCCTAAGCCACGGACGCCACCAGCTACTTACAATAATTGTTAATATTATTATGTGCTAAATTGCAAATAAATATACTAATATATTTGAAATAATATAAACTACAACTAGAAGAACTCCATTATCCGGATGTCAATATCCTCCTTTCGGACAAAGTAAAGGGAATAAAAGATTTAATAAAGTCTGCTCCCAAAACACAGTGAAGATCAAAAACCTATTCGTGAATTTAAAAAAAAAAAAAAAAACATATGTCCACTAAAAACAATGTCCACATACAAAACTAGTTTTCAACCAAAAAAAAAAAAAAAAAAAAAAAAAAAATGACAATAAATGATAAAGAAACTGAAAATGTCACAAACTTTGAATATCTAGGTTCCCCCCTCCCCCCCCCCCCCCCCCCCCCAAAAAATAGAGACTGTTCCAAAAAAGTCAAACATAGGATGCACATAGCGATACAAAGATTAAACAGCATTGAAAGTCCATTTTTGAGCACCAGCAATGAAATGAAAGTTAACCTCTTCAGAGCATGAATCTTCGCTGTTTTAACACTTCGACAAAGAAGGTATAGATTAGTTGCGTATCCTTTACAGGACGTTGGTTTTTCTAGGCAAAGTTATGTCCAGTAGTTTTGCGAAGAAGGTATACTGTCATTTTAAAAGATTTGAACATCAAGAAAGGCTAATAAACAGCATGATGTCTCAGAAGCTTAAATGTGTTGGTTATATCAAGCGCCATGGTTGATTGGAAAACATATTAACAGAAATCATGGTACCAAGAAGGAGATGCAGGGCCAACTAACGCGAAGACGGGCACAGAATATAAGTGAGTCCGTGACTATGGAAGTGAGGGAGAGTTGGTGAGAGACCGAGTTTCTTTCAGGCAGACCGTGATGAGAGCGACGTACTGCAAAGAACCTGCTACACGATGAAACACTTAGAAAAGGATGTCTATACATGGTCAGAAAGGGACAGCTCTTCCCCCTCCCTCCGCCTTTTGATACTTTTGTGGTGGCAGAAAAGGGCGCCCTAGCTTTACCAAAACGATTGAGGGAAGAGGGGGGGGGGGTGTTGGGGCAGCAGCCCCTTAAGAGTTTGGTAGGTGCTGTCAATAAGTCTGAGTCCCAGATTCCATTGCATACCTTTGGTCTCTGAGCAATTATGCACTTATTCATGTTTGACATAAATATGCTATGTTTACTTTCTCTCTTTCTCTCTCTCTCTCTCTCTCTCTCTCTCTCTCTCAACTCTCTCTCTCTCTCTCTCTCTCTCTCTCTCTCTCTCTCTCTCTCTCTCTTTTTTAGCTACTGTGAAAAGCCTAACTGCAAACAGGAATAAAGTTTAAATTAAATGTTAGCCAGAAAATCAAGTGTCTGATTTTCTGGCTAATATTTTAAAGAGATGTTTATTCAGAATTTAGTAATCAATAATTCCACATTTTGATTTTTACAGGATAAGAACTGAAAAATCGATTCCAGTAACAGAGTCATTTGTTTCCTTTCTGGAATCTATTGATCACTGATAATAAACATGTAATTTTGGCTTTATTTTTATTAAATCAGGCAGAAACGTCATATTCTGTAAGAAAATCAATGGTTCACCATCCTTATGTTTTCAGTTTATTTTTTGTGTCAACTTATTTTTATTTGCAAATAAAGATTATTAAGTTATGATTTGGATATTTCCATTTGTAATCATCATTATCGTCATCATCATCATCTTCGCGTGGTTCTCTCTCATTTCAGTAAAAAAGTAAGTACAGGACATTTGTTAACATCAGTGTAGCTGGTTAAGTAGGTAATGTGTGCTGTTTTACTGTTGAAACCTTCCTGTTAATTACAGTTGTTTGCACTTGCTTTCAAGAACGGTAATAAAAATTAGTTGTGCTTGCTGATAACAAAGCGGCGTCCGTGGCTTAGGCGTTGCGAGTCCGCCTCGTAATTCCATCGTACCGCGATCTAACCCACTGCTCAATGCGTGAATTGTTATCATGGTATGGTCGACCCAGCCTAAAATGGGTACCAGGATGTATGTCCTTGGGAAGTAAAGACGGCCGGTGTAATGCTGACTTCATTACCCTAGAGCCGATTGGTCTGTACAAATATGGGTGCTCTTCCCATATGCCCGATGCTCCTAAAGGCGTGAAACGGGATCTTTAGTTTATTTTATAATGTAAAAAAAAAAAAAAAACTGTTAATTACAATTAGTAGCACTCACTTGTAGGACTAATGTATTGTTGTTTATAACTGGTTACTCTTTTTTAGAAATATACATTGTTGATCACAATTGGCTGAAAGTACTTTACAAAATTGTTCGTTAATTAAGTTGCTTGTACCAACTTGTACCACTACTTAGCAGACAACGTTACAACAAATGATTAATAACACCTTTATCCCTACTTTATTTAAAATAACTACGTGTGAAATGTATGTCTCTGCAAGGTCACTAACAACACTAGACATAACAGCATAAGAGAAAAAGTTGAATTAGACCATGTCTGGGTTATATTGACAAACAAAAAATGAAATGGTTCCACCACCTAGTGAGAATGCAGCCACACTAGGCTGCATATGAGCCTTTTTACACTAAAACATCTGTGTGGAAGGCGAGAGGTAGACCAAGAAAGAGATGGCTAAATGGCGTAGCTGAAATTTGCCAAACAATGAACAAATCCATAGTCCAAGCAATTTGTAAGCGCAAGAGAAATACAGAAAACCACGACACGAGGCTAAAATCTAGTATCAGTGTGAGATGACAAAAGAAGAAGTACTTACTTGTAACAAAACTATACTGCGCCTTGAACCCTGTAACAGTGGAAGATGAATGATAGCTGCGGAACTCCACTGTCATCTTGTGCTGGTTGGACATCAGCATGGGCGGCAACTTGCGTCCACACCAGGTCTTCAGTTCCTCCATCCTTCCGTTGATGAAGATGTAGACGGACACGGAGTCAGAACCTGTACAGCTGCAATCAAACTGTTGTTGATGAGTGAGAATACTTCAACAGCCTCACTGCTGTATGTGTTATAACTATTTTAAAAGTAATGCCCTCTCAGACTTCTCACAGTCATTTCAAGCAGGGCTTTATCTGCCAGTACGCACCGGTTTCCAGTACTGGCACCTTAATTTTAAAATGCATTTTGAAGCGTTCCTGTAACAGACACTTTGTGATACGTATAGGAACCTTTTTACAGACACTTTACTGTGAGTACTGGTATCTTTTTAAGAGAAAAATTGTAAAAAAAAACTGCCCTATTTATAAGTATACTATCAGCATCATAATCATCATAATTGTCATAATTATCATCATCACCATTATCAAGTGACTTGCCGAAGGGCGTAAGCGATCATTTAACTTTACAACCTACCACCTCCAACAGCATACATCTGCTCATCTGCTGACATCTCCATGACCTGACTCATCTCTATGACCTGACTCATCTCCATGACCTGACTCATCTCCATGACCTAACTCATCTCCATGACCTGACTTATCTCCATGACCTGACTCATCTCTATGACCTGACCCCTCTCCATAGCCTGACTCCTCTCCATGACCTGACTCATCTCCATGACCCGACTTATCTCCATGACCTGACTCATCTCTATGACCTGACTCCTCTCCATGACCTAACTCCTCTCCATGACCTAACTCATCTCCATGACATGACTCCTCTCCATGACTGACTTATCTGCATGACCTGACTCCTCTCCATGACCTAACTCATCTCCATGACCTGACCGATCTCCATCATCTGACTCATCTCATCCCATGACCTGACTCATCTCCTTGACCTGACTCATCTCCATAACCTGACTCATCTATGACCTGACTCATCTATCTTCTTCTTCTCTTCCACCTTTTACCTCATCGAAGTGTCGGGGGGAGATGTAATGTTCGTTGATGAGCTCTGTCAAGAGCACTATTAAGACTGATGCTCATATCTGCAAGGCTGTTCTTAATGCCATCACTCCATATTTTCCGAGGTCTTCCACTCGCTCTATATCCGTTGTAACGTTTTAGTGTGGCTCGCTGTGATGGATAGTACCAGGGCATTCTTTTTAGGTGTCCAAACCACTTCATTTGTTGTTCTTTGATGACCTGTAAGACTGGCTTTATTCCTAGCATTTGTCTGATTTCATGATTTCGTTATTCTGTCTTTTCTTGAAACTCCTGCAGCTCTTCTAAGGCATTTCATCTCTGTTGTCACAATTTTACGTTCATTGGAGGATGTAAGTGTCCACGTTTGGCATTGATAACATAGTGTTGGCCAAAAAATAGTTCTGATAAGATTAATTTTAGTACTCAGAGGTATCTGCTTGTGTGTCAACAGGGGAGATAGTTGACCCATTACTTGATTAGCTTTGGCACATCTGGGGCTAATTTCTCTGTCCAGTTTTCCATCGGATGTAAAAATTGCTCCCAAATACTTAAATTCCTCTGATTGACTCAGGGTGTTGTTTTTTTAATTTAATTTCTAAATTGTCTTTATGTTTTCCTATTATCATTGTCTCTGTCTTCGTAGTGTTTATTTTCATATTATATTCCTCCCCTTTGTTACTAATTTGATTTAGGTGGTTCTGTAGGCATTCTGTATTTTCTGCTATGAGTATCTGGTCGTCGGCGAAGAGTAATTCTGTAATATCTTCTTCATGATTAAAGTGTGTTTCGCTACATATGGTATCCATGTATGTTTTAAAAAGAAGCGGCGATAGTTTACAGCCCTGACGCACACCAGAGTTCGCTATAAAAGTTCTTGACAACCCTACCTTCGATCTTATGCAGCATTTACTATATGTGTACAGGCTTTTGCAAATATTAATGAGATGATTGCTGATTACTTTTCCCCCCATACATTCCCACAACATATTCCTGTCGACTCTATCGAAGGCTTTTTCTTGGTCTATGAATGTCAAAAAACATATGTTATCATGTTCTATTGCCCTTTCTGATAGTTGTCTCAATGTATAAATGGCATCTGTGCAACTTCTGTTTCGTCGAAAATCCATCTATGCTTCTGAAAGTTGATACTCTATCAATGGTCCTTTTTTTCGATGATTTTAGGATACATTTTCCCAGTGTGACTGAGAAGTGATATTCCTCTGTAATTAGTTCATTCCCTCTTACGTCCTTTATTTTTCCACAGCGGGACAATGACAGCAGTCTGCCAATCTGATGGTGTTTTTTGATTTTCCCATGCCACCTGAAAATTCTCCTTAACTATATTGCTCCCGTTTCTCCTGCTGCCTTCATGGCCTCAGCTGGTAGATCATCAATACCTGTCGCCTTTAGTCTAGGGGCGGTTCGAATGACATATTTTACTTCATCCAATAATATACCTGGTTCTAGTTCCTCTGCTGTTAGTTCCGAGTTGTTTTTATGATCTTCCCTGCTTTTATCTGTTGTATTGCAGCTTGACATGAGAAAAGGTTGTTAAGAATCTTCTCCCAGTGTCTCCCTCTACATTCAATTCCAGAAATCTTTCTAGTGATTATAACCTTTACCACTTTTCCTTTTATCACACTACCACAAACGATATTTGTTACGTTTAGATGCTTCTGATAGGTTTTCTATAAGTTCTCACAAGTATCACAGCTATATAAGGGAAAATACTTGTTCAGTCTTCGTATGTTCACAAGTATTACAGCTATACATGGGAAAATACTTGTTAAGTCTTCGTATGTTCACAAGTATCACAGCTATACAAGGGGAAATACTTCTTCAGTCTTCGTATGTTTACAAGTATCACAGCTATACAAGTGGAAATACTTCTTCAGTCTTCGTATGTTCACAAGTATCACAGCTATACAAGGGAAAATACTTGTTCAGTCTTCGTATGTTCACACTTATCACAGCTATACAAGGGAAAATATTTGTTCAGTCTTCGTATGTTCACAAGTATCACAGCTATACAAGAGAAAATACTTGTTCAGTCTTCGTATGTTCACAACTATCACGGCTATACAAGGGAAAATACTTGTTGAGTCTCCGTAAAGTAATTCACAGAAAAACACACATTATAACTAAGATCAAAGACAATTATACATTGTAATCTGGTTCGTAATAAACCATCAATTATTGCTTGGTTCACAGTAAATCCCATGTCAGAGTCTTCGCTGCCACTCCCTATCTCCCCCCCCCCCCCCCCGCACACACACACAAAATCACACACACAATCGTTGACACTGTCATTTAAAAAAAAAAAAAAAAAAAAACATTATAAAAAAAAATAATCACACAAAACCACAACTATGATCACTCAAATATCGCAGTTTAATCATTCAAACCACATCCAAGATGACCTGTATTTACAATAAAAGTGCACTACGATGTGAGATCATAATCAAATAAAACCATACATGTATCAAACAAACCAGGAAGTAATCATAATAACTACCCACCTATATAATCACACAAAAGTCACAGCTAAGATCACTCAAACCTGTCATTTTCATCATACAACACAAATGCATTATCATTCACAGCCACACACTATATCATTATCCAAAACAACGATATAATCCCAAACAAAATTCACGAAAGTTATTAAACTACAACTAAAGACACATACAATTCACAACTAAATTATATAAAACAAACTGATATCACAATGTCACATGGGTACACAAAAAAAAAAAAACTAAATATATAAATTCGCACAAATTAAATACGAGTAATAATATAACGGCAAGAGCCCTAATAATAATAATAATGACAATAATATTAATAGAAATAATGATAGCGATAATAAAAACAGTGACTTACTCTAAAGGCTCCATTGGGTCGCCATTAGCATAGTACAAATCCAGGTGCAAAAATCTCAGTTGAATTCTTTCGCGCCCAACGCCGATGAACTCGTATCTACACGATATGTCTGCAGGATATGCCTCTGGATGAAAAGGACTGGAAATTGTGCCATTATGATGATTAGGGCTCTCTATTTTCTGATTGCATTGAAACTCTGAAATAAATACGAATCACACATTTTACAAGAAAAAAAGTCAAAGGAGCATACATATACATATCTTCTTGTTTCCCCGCTGTAAAATCCGGTGTAAAATCCAGGATGTCTACTTCTGAACTTTGGTCTCCTCCCATGACTTGAGTTATGAGAGCACATCCGTTTTATGTCTGGTTTACTTGCATGCAGACTGTTGGTTCTTCACCTATCAGGCCAATAGTCTAAAAAGCTATTTTTATATGGAGCACATAACATTTGCTGATGATGTTCTTGCATCTAGACAAGGGACTGATAGACAACGGATAGCCCAAGAGCTGCAGGCAACTGTAGAAAAAGTGAGGGACTAGTATGCAAAAATGGGTGCTGTTATCAACTCAGAAAAGGCGGCTGTTTTGTGGTGGTCTCTGGACAATAAACATGCAAGAGCTTATGTTCTAAGCATCACAGTAAATAACAGTAACATCAACAGAGAAAGCAAACTGAGGTACCTGAGACTCACTTTCCATAGAAGCCTGTACTGTAAGGATCACGTAGAGGCAGTTGCGGTGAAATGCCACAAAGTACTCAATGCTCTCAAGATTATGGCAGCAATGAACATGGAACAAAGAATGATGTTCACAGTGTTAAAGCATATGATCCTGTCGGTGATAGATTATGGACTTGGAATGCTTACCATATCAAAGAGTCAGCTGATAAAACTCTAACGCATACAGAATGAAGCTGCAGACGAGAAGCACCTCCTGTATGAAGCCCTGGGTAGAGCTAAGGGTCACAGACTGAAAAGAGGAAGGTCTAGGATGCCGCATGCTGAAGACACAACTGGACATGTGTGCAGGCCTAATAAATCTGAGCGAAGACAGGAGTGGATCATGGTGTCCAAAAAACTTTCAGGCTAGTGAAGGGTTCTAATCACTCTAGGTTGTGAGTGCAGAGGCCCGCTTGTGCTGCATAATCAGAAGTTTAACAAATGATTAATGACAATACCCGCCCAGTTGATGTGATTACCTATACAGATGGCTTTGTGTTGAGGGGAGACAAAGTGCATGGGGATTCATAGCAAAGGCGAATAGACGTCGCCTTGCATATGATATCACAGCGTCTAGTTTGAGAATGGAGTAGAGGCAGTCTATGCTGTCTTCCGCTGGCTTGAAAATCAGCTGTACACACATGCCGTGATTGTGACTGACTCACGGAGCATGTTGAGAAAGGTGAAGACATGTATACTTCGTTCAGAGACAAATTTTTAGGATATTTTATCCGGGTCATGCTGGTGTGTTGGGAAATGAGCAGGCAGATAGACTGGTCGGCTCTGCACACTTGGTGGTTAATTGATGTATGACAAGCCTAATATTGTAAAAGTTCTTTGAGAACAAGTGGATAGTGCGGAGGCGCAAATAGATCAATACGGAGTTACTTGGGGATCTAGTCAACGCTCAACACTCAGGAGAAGGATGAGACAGATATACAATCAGACGGGTACTGGTGCCATCGGAATTGAAACACTTAGCTTGCTGCTGAAGATGGAGACGGAGACTTATGGCAGTGTCCCGAGTGCTGTGATGTCGATATTTTATTCAACATTCAATATTGAGCACATAACCTAGAAAAAATTAAAACCTAAAGCTGCCAATTCGCGGGATGCTCGTTGAACGTGACGATTGTTTTTTTCCAGCAAAGCATCTAGCTTCCTACCAATGACTACAATTGACCACATTAAAGTATAAATAATTCAAGAAAGACAAAGAAAGGCGGCAAATGTAAGGAGAGCCACCTATAACAACACTCAGGAGATACATAATACATAGGAATCATTAGGAAGAAAAAATGAATTACTAGACTGTGAGTCCAAGTCCTTTTGAGAAAAAAAAATGAAAAGGTCGACCACTTTCAGACTGCTGCTAGCTAGCCGAGGGTGCTAACAGTCTCCGCTTAAATTTGTGGTCTGGGTTATTTGCGTCACTTTCGTGACTGAATTCTAGTGTTTGCGCCATTTCTGGGCTTGATGCTTCCATCCGAATCAAACCGCTCTTCCTCCACCCTGTTGTTACTTGTGCATGTATTCCCTCGTCTTACTTGATGTTTCCAGTTTGTGTTGTTTCCCTTTGCCTTGGCCAGGCGTATTTCGTAGGGCAGCGCGCTTTTCTACACAATGTCCTTTGGACCACCATTTACAGTTATAAAATTTTGAGTATTTTATTTTGCCAAAAAGTAACGAAAACAGTTTTTGATTAGACTGTGAGACCTTTGTGATCTAAAAGTGTGCAACAAGATGAAGATGATTGGCTCTAAAGCTGTTAGGCCACAAATATAGGCACATTATTGGTTGATTAAATGTGTAACCCGATCCAATAGCAATCGTGACATATGTAGAAGATGCAGCGATGTGTTTTTATATGTGCACTACCCTAAATATAACGACAGTAGTAGCCACGCTAGCTTTGGGGGGGGGGGGGGGGGAGGGGGGAGGGGGTGGCAAGGTCTCTACAATGACGGTTGACTACAAAATACACACTGCTATTTCTGGAAATATTACGTTACGTAGTCAGAAAAATAAAAAAAAATAAAAAAAAATAAAAAACGGTGTCTGTCTGTCTGTCTGTCTGTCTGTCTGTCTGTCTGTCTGTCTGTCTGTCTGTCTGTCTGTCTGTCTGTCTGTCTGTCTGTCTGTCTGTCTGTCTGTCTGTCTGTCTGTCTGTCTGTCTGTCTGGTCTGTCTGCCTGTCTGGTCTGTCTGTCTGGTGTGTGTGTGTGTGTATGTGTGTGTACGTACGTACGTATGTATGTATGTATGTATGTATGTATGTATGTATGTATGTATGTATGTATGTATGTATGTATGTATGTATGTATGTATGTATGTATGTATGTATGTATGTATGTATGTATGTATGTATGTATTAGTATGTATGTATGTATGTATGTATGTATGTATGTATGTATGTATGTATGTATGTATGTATGTATGTATGTATGTATGTATGTATGTATGTATGTATGTATGTATGTATGTATGTATGTATGTATGTATGTATGTATGTATGTATGTATGTATGTATGTATGTATGTATGTATGTATGTATGTATGTATGTATGTATGTATGTATGTATGTATGTATGTGTGTGTGTGTGTGTGTATGTGTGTGTGTGTGTGTGTGTGTGTGTGTATGTATGTATGTATGTATGTATGTAAATCGATCACAAAATCAGCCCCGCACAAGATAACTATTCTAGTATGGACAGATCAGAACAAGTCATTATCCTCTATCTCAGAACAAGACACAACCGATTATGTAACCACACGCGCGCAAAATTCAAGATTGGCGCACCACCCACGGGCACCTGTGCAAAGGTGTCCTAGAAAGCAGAACATGTACTCCAGGACTGCACTGAATTTTATACAATAAGGCAAACCTTCAGGGCATAAAGAATACTAGTGGAACGATAATCATATGGACCACTGAACAAACTAAAACGACAGTGAAATTTATACGAGAGAAAAAGTTTTCGATATAGGCAAAGTATTTCAGGCGAACGAAAGAAAGAAAAAAAAAAGTATACTTATGTAGCCTGCAGAGGCAGTAAATATCTGGCAATATGTGATTGTCAAGATGGATGTCCGCATGATGTATGCTAGGGGATTCTTCTGAATTAGTCTACGCCAAGTTGAGCGATTGTTTATAAGCTTTGTGCGTATTCAGAGTGGTTTATTATGAGCATATGCAGAGTGGTCCAGCATAAGTAAGAATTTGACCAAGCGTACGTGTCATACAACTCTCTTCCAGCCAACACCGCTCCGACTCAACGCTTTTCCACCACTGCTCCTCACTCGAAAACCCTCTCGACCAACTATCCTGTCTTTTTGTCAAAATCCTGTTAATCTCTAAATTTCCTCTTCTGTATTCTAAGCCTTATGTCTAGCCGCCACAGTTTTGTCCTTCTGGTAATCATGTAATCGCATTTTCACTATCATAGCTGTTCCTTTCCTGTGCCAACGAAAACAACAAAGGAAGCCCATTGTCTGCATTCTCGACAAAGCCAGTAGCATACCTTCTAGGCAATAAATGCATGGCTGCCACCAGAAGTGCGAAAACAAAACAACACGCGACTAAAAATGCAGTTTGAGAAAAAAAAAAAAAATTAATTTTGTACGCAATTAAATTATAACGCACCACTAGTTGTGTGGCAACAGTCACTCGTAAGTTTCTGAATCTGCAATTTACAAAACAATGAAACCGTCAAAAGCAATCCTAAAAAAAAAAAAAAAAAAATCCGCACCTCATAGTGCCGCGCTATGCACTCAACTCAGTAGCTGGGTGACAGAATTATATACTTTCAGTCCATATATAGATAAAAAGCAGTCACTAGCCATTGTCAGAAGCAAACCCCTGCCTCGATTAACAATAGTAAACACACTCACCAGTGAAATACAGTCCGTATAGCTAACTCAAGACCTTCAGAGCTCGAGAAAACTGGTTCCCAATTTCGCCACGGAAATAGTTAAGAGTTGCGTATCCTTTGCAGGACGTTGAAGAACCAACCCAGCTTTTTTTTCCGTTGTAGTTTTTCAGTAGTTTGACATTGCTGCTGAACAGCCAGCTCTCTGTAACACTGTCGAAACCACCGAAAGACAAATCGTCTGCAGCTGGGATTGAACCCGGCAACACGCCATAACAATGCTCGTTCGCAACGCCTAAGCCACAGACGCCAAGCACGGAGATAGAGCCTCACATATTCTAGGCTGTGATAGTTGCGAAAATCGGTTATCTTCTCCTCCTGATGACCTAAACCAGAGTTCTAAATTCAACACATACACACACACATAAAGGACCATTTTCCTTGCCCCCAGCGTACTCAACATAAAAGGCTAGATCTAGATTGCATAGATCGATGGACAATTGGTGGGTGGTCAGTATCACCCCGGCAGCGGTTATTTCCCCAGGATTTGTTAACCCACTCAAGACTGGGTCAGCCTGGGAGTCAAGGTCATAAAAAAAAAGAAAG